GTGGATTTAGTTTCCTCTGTAATATTACATATAACATTATTAAATTAATATATTCTTATATTAATGAATATAGAAAACATGAAAATACTCTAAACCTTTCCAATTGTTCCAAAACCATTCAGAGCCAAAACTGGGTACACTAAATACACCCCAATGAATAAAAATTCCAAGTTTTGCATCATCGTACCAGGATGGTAACGATCGATTATCTAGACTAGACCAAGTTGGAACATACTTAGGTATTTCTGTCGAGCGTGATATAAAATTATTTTCCTCATCCGTTCTCGCTATCACATTATAATATGCTTTTACTGATACGCAAAGAATCAGCACAGTGCACAAATTATATATAAGCAACATCCTTCTGTCAGTGAAGCTTGACGTAATGAAAGCAAACAGACGACAAACAGGTCTTTTATTCCCATCCACTGTATCAAATCTCGAACATTTTATTTCCTTGTGCTGTTTCGTATCATATTTCGAGATTAGATTAGACCGTTACCATTGTATTAAAACAAGAATTGTGTTATACATTAATTGATGCTAACTTATTATATATAAAATTGATCTGTTTACAGAATACCATAATTTCAGTAAAGCATTTAAAAGAAATTAAACTATATTTTTTATCACATTTAGTCAGGTTAACGGTTGTTAATGTGAGTTGGTTTGGATCTTATTAAGTTACGTTTAAAAATTTTAAATTGTAATAATAGAAAAGTACAATATATATTTCAAAATAAAAATAAATATAAATTTTATAATAAACTTTATTGTCACATAGCTATACTTATTAAATTAACATTTTCTTAACATTGATTAATGTAATTTTTTCTCATTATCTATAATTGATTGATACGATAACATGTTTATATCTTGGCTATCATGTTTACAAATATAATGTAATTAAAATATCATTCAAGGCAATTTATAATATAAAGAAAAAAAGGAAAAAGAAAGGCAAAGAGGGACTGCAGATAAGAAATTATCTGTGCGAAAAATGATAATACGTAATATAATACGTTTTACTATAATACGTTTTAGAATCTTTTTCTTTTTAAGTAAATATATGTTTTCTATTGGAATAAAAGATTGTTTTTCACATATATATAATATAGTTTTTCAGCACTACACTGGATAATCGCTAAATTTTAATGGCCGCCAATTTGGTGTATACATACGTCCTAGAATAAATTACAACCAATCGCATCGTGCGAATATTTCACGAGCATTATGTCGTCCAATTCGAGAGCGAGAATTATTGCGAGAATTTTCATTTGTCATGAAAACAGGATCGTATGAATTTGAATTGAATACTTCTTTATAATTAATTTTTCTTCTCAATCTTCAATACCCAAGCTGGCTGTCCTCTATGTGCATTAGAAGGTAGATTTATTTCTAGCTTATCATTAGATTGTTTCCACTAAAACATATGTATAAAATTATGTTAATATCATTATAACTATAACATTATTATCACTATAACATAAAAGTAGATAAAAGAGGCAACATATACTTACAGGAATTGCTGATGAATAACCAAGTAGGTATACCTGAGAATTCGTTGAAAGTTTAAGAGAACCCAATGACAAAATATTATCATCTGGCCATTCTAGAATCGAAGCATATAGCTGTTTTTCATTTTTATTTATCGTGTACCAAACACTTCCGGTTAAAGTATCATTTTGTACTATCCATGGTTTAGTATTGTAAATAGCTTCACCATTAACTGCTAGCCAAGTGCCTAAAATAATAAGTTCACTCATATATTATTAAGATTATCAGAAAATCGATATCTGTATCAATTTAGCTATTAATAAATATGATAAGATACAAAAGATGTTTACCCATTCCGCGTAATCTTTCTTCATATATTGGTATAATGATGCCATCTTTCGTTGGTCCAACGTTCATCAGTAAATTTCCACCGCAGCTTACAGTAATTATTAATTCTTTTACTAATCCAGCTAGTGTATAATATTCCGCTAAAACTGCATTTCTACGGTATCCCCAAGATTTTTTATCAATAGTCATACAGTTTTCCCATTTATGTGGGAGAAGCATACCTAAGAAACAAACTCTCATTAATCTTGTATGTATGTATGTATGTATGTATGTCAAATTGGAGATTTGAAAGATACAGTTTTCTTTAAGATATAAGGTTAGAATAACTGATAAATTGCAGGATTCGGTATTCTAAAATAGTTTCTATAATAGTGAAAACTTATTATTAAAGGTTTCATAAATATACAAGAATTTTTTAAGTTTCTCATACAATCCAAAAGAGCAAAAAAATCACACTCTTCATCTTCATCAAAATTTTAAACGGAAGATCATAAAATCTTTATAAATTTATTTTTATGTACAAATTTACTTAACAATATTACTTTACACATTAATTTACATAAAGGTAATTACAATTTTATATTTACCAGGATTAAAACGATCAGCACATGTGAAGAAACCACCATGGTGGCATGATATATTATTGCCCCATCTATCATTCACCACTACTGTATCTTTTACAGGACTATCATTGTATAGCCAAGCCAAAAATTCCTTTGATTTCCAATAAGTGTCTGATGCCTCTCCATCTCCATCTGACCAAACTATATCTGGCTTGTACGTTTCTATCAATTCGTGTAACTCTGGCATCACTTTATTAATCACATATCTATCTGTTGTAAAATTATTTTTTTTATCTGCTACATAGAGACGATTGTACCATTCAAATAGGGAATGATATAAGCCAAATCTGATATCTGTCTTGTTTCGAATAGCTTCTGCTAATTCACCTGTTTTATAAAAAAGAGAATAGATGTATAAAAACTTTTATATTCAATAATGTAATGTAATCTCTGTTAGATGTGTATCTTTATTACCAACAAGATCTTTTTGAGGTCCTACATCCATAGAGTTCCAACTGAATGAATACGTCGATGGCCACATTGTGTATCCTTCATGGTGCTTGCTTGTTAATACAATATACTTTGCACCTGATGCATTGAATAATTCCGCCCAGTCAGAAGCATTGAAGAATTCAGCAGTAAAGTCCCGTGCAAAATCCTGATATGTAAAGTTTGGAGGATATCTTTGTTTCATAAAATCATGGAATTTTGTAGTTTTAGTTTCCTCTGCAATGTCATTTACAAAATTATATAAGATAAATATTACATTAATCTATATAATATTTTATAATATAATATATAATAGCAAGTGCTGATTGAAATATATATCATGGTATATTATATAAACATATTCAACCTTTCCAATGATTCCAAAACCATTCAGAACCAAAGCTAGGTACACTGAATACACCCCAATGAATAAAGATTCCAAACTTTGCGTCATCATACCAAGATGGTAATGGTCGACTGTCTAGACTAGACCAAGTTGGAACATATTTCGGTTTTGTTGAAGACAGCACAGAATTATCATCTCTCTTATCCATATTTGTTATCACATTAATATATGCTTCTACTGACACGTAGAGAATTAGTACAGCGCACAAGATATGTACAAACAGCATCATCCTGCCAGGAAAACTTATAATGAACGCAATATGGTTGTTAAATGAGTCTTTTATCCCTACTGGCTGTATTAAATCTCAGTGAGAATTCTATTTTTATATGTTTTGTATCACATTTTAAGATTAGATTAGATCAGCACTTCATATTTAGACAAAAATCATGTTATTGTTGAAAGCATAATTTATATACAATTAAATATCTATATGTGATATGCTTTAATTCTATAAAAGCAGAGATAATGTTAGAAGATGCTGAATAATTCTTTGCATTAAATATTCATAATTGTATGATAATTTGTTAATTTGTTAATTTTATTAGTAATTATAAATATTATATTAATCTCATGTTATATAGTTTTAGTGTAAATATTATCTAATTTTTATTATATCGCTACATCTTGACTTCACTATCTCGTGTTTATAGACACGAATGTAATTAAAGTATCATCCGAGATGGCAATCTAACAATAAGTTGAAAAGCAGATAAGGAATTGCATGTGCAATCTGTCAAAAAATATGTTCAATGTCAATACATTTTGGGAAATCTTTTTAGCAACTTTTCTTTTTTCTGATCGTTGTCTGAACAGAAACGACACAGGCCAATGTCAACATGTGGATAATTGTTTTCTACCGGCATACAGTGCTCAGTCCAGAAATACTGGACCATTTTTTTATTCTTGTTACTCATCGAATATTAAACAAGGGTAAAAAAATTAAAAAGGGTGAGTCTTGAGTGCGCTCGAATATTATTTCTAAATCTCAATATTTCATCGTTTAGCTTCACAAAATGCTACACGAACAATCGCCGTTTGTTGTTAAATACATACAAAATAAAAAAGAAATGATATCTCGTGCATAGCCAATCGTAGCCGTGTCTTGCACTACTGCGAGAACGAGACGCATTGTGACTCGATGTTTCGCTCGTCATAGAAACGAGACTGAATGAATTTGAATCAAGAGGGACGTATGAGGGTGTGAGGTGGTGTGAGAATAGCTCGCTGACGGATTAAATATTTACCGGCATTCCGGGAAAGAATCTCTCCCCGCGAGCAATATCGTAATTCAACATGGCTTGGGTTCCCTTGGAGTCGAATCCGGAGGTAAGCAATCTTCCTAAACACCACATCGCGTCAGACCACATCGCGTCGTCTCGTTGCTCGAACGACGATTGAATAATCACATCTTCTGTTTTAGGTTATGACGAAGGTAAGCGGTGCTCGGTAGATCAATGTTATTTCCTTGGTGTCTCTTGATTTTGCATACGATGTCTCGTTTATCAGTATTGTGTTTCTTGTGAAAGAAAAAAAGGAAGACATTCTAACAAATTTCTTTGGCGTGACTTTGAATCCCCAAAATTCATTGTCATCATTCATTGTTTATGATGTCTGTCTTTATAGTTCCTCCATAAATTGGGTGTCCCAAAGAAATGGTCAATCCTAGATGTGTATGGTTTGGAATCAGATTTGTTGGCGATTGTCCCTAGGCCTGTTCTTGCTGTCATTTTGCTTTATCCTGTTCCTTCAAAGGTATATATACATTGTATGATGATATAATAAGTGATTTCAAGATGCAACTGATGCATCTCCTATTTGGTTTCAGACTGAAAAGATTGAAGAAGAAAAAGAAGAAATTAAAGATAGTAAAAACGATGCTCCGGATTCTATTTATCATATGAAGCAGTGTATTTCGAATGCATGTGGAACGATTGCATTACTTCATAGTGTAGCAAATAATTTGGATGTGTATGTATCACTTACAATATATATAATCCAGTCTATCATATATTGTATAATAATACATATAAATAATTTAGATAATAATATAGATAAATAATTTATATATATATAAAATAATAGTTTGCTTTTTTTGACAGCATACAATTGGAAAATGGTTTTCTCAAAAAATTCTTAGATGAAACCAAAGGACTCTCGTATGCTGAGCGTGGAGAGCGTTTAGAAAATGCGCAAGATATAATTGACACTCACATGGAGTCTGCCCAAGAAGGACAGACTGAGGTACTTTGTTATTTTGTACCTTTAAAAACGATAAAACTGTCTTATAGTCGTAAATTTTAAATATAATTCTTATAGGCGCCAGCTGAGGATATGGAGGTGTACCATCACTTCATCGCATTTGTACATAAGGATAGTTCTTTGTATGAGCTTGGTATGTGTTTAATCTACATTAATCTACATTAACTTTATTATTTAATTAATATATCTATAATAATAAACATTTGTTTTTTTCAGACGGTCGAAAATCTGCCCCTATCAATCATGGCTCGACCACACCAGAGACACTTCTAGACGATGCTGCTCGTGTATGCAAGGAATACATGGAACGCGATCCCAACGAAGTGCGTTTCACAGTGGTTGCGCTCGCTGCCACCAGTGAATAAACGGCATCCTTATCTTCAAGTGCATTTGCCTTTAAGCTAATTTAAGCCTAAATAATTTATTTTATACGTAATATAATGTTATATTTCGCTTCGGCAACGCATTTGTTTTGTCAGTTTTCTTAATTGCCAGCTTTCTTGACACTGTGTAGAACGTTAATGAAGAAAAATTTATACACAGTTTATTGCACCGTTTTGCTTTTATTAAAACAAAAAGATCCTTGTCCTCAAGCTCATTAAATTTTCGATATCGTGCGTGGAGCTTGTATCAGATTTAATAATATCGACAGTGACATGTGCAGATATTTTTAACCATCAAAAAAATGATGAAAATACGGAGCGACGCATGAGATGCTATAGAAAGAACATTTAAAACAAACTCCAGGTACTGTGCGTCGGTCAAGGTCTTTCAGCTTTGCGTAATAAGGCGGACCATTGCCAAAGCAAATTTTGGTCCGCAAGAGTTGACGATAAATTAGGACCGATACATCCTCTCATTTGGCACAGATTTCATGCATTGATTTGGTAACATTCAAGTTTGACCACCAACTTCATATATCTTGCACCTTTCGTTTTCATTAAGTGTCGACCTTGAATCTTTTATGATTTTAATGCATTTATTTGACATTGTGTGCATTGCACAAAATAAGATAAGACAAAATTGCTATTAAATGTAATATCAAAGCTGTTTGGAAATTGATCGACTGTTATGAAAGCATTACTATTTTTATGAAATTGAATTACATAATTGTTGATTTTTTAGAATGAAAAAGATGATTTACAGATTTACACTGTGTTGATTGCAGAGCTATTGATCTTGTTTTAAAAATAGACGTTACTTAAATTAATTATTCATTGACCTTTAATTGCAATTTATATTTTTAATGAAATAATTAGGGATTTTTTAAATTTATTAATTTATATTTATAATATTTTTATATTTTTTGCAGACGATTCGAAATAATGAATTAATGTTTGAATCAATTAGCGAAAGATTTACAAAAGTAATTGGATACGTAAGAAAGAAAATATAGAAAATATGCGAATAAACGTATTTGATTTATAGAGATTTTACAATTTCTTAGATTACGTAAGTCGATTTTTATATTTTATTATTTCTTTTTTAAAAATATATTTACTTGAATATTTACTATATGTAGAGGCGCCCTATTGTTTCGTATGTTATCAGGAATTGCGAAACGCATCGGTCACTGACCAGCCACCGAAAGCGTCAGCTATTTTGGATCCTCTTCCGAGAGACCACGCATCTTGGCACCGATTCTCTAAATAGTGACTTTAAAATATAAAATAAATTTAAATTTCAATAAGGCGCACACATATATTATATAACATCGCTTCGTTTCAAATTGTGATTTAGAAATTTGCTTATGACGGATCGTTTAATTGCAAAATGTTAAAGTCGCTCGAGACAAGATAATGGATTCGCATGGATTGTTAATCCATTCGCATGGATTGTTAATTTTCTGTTCACATTTATTTATTTTATATTTTCAGATAAAATTTAATTGTGGATGAAGACAAAGAACGATCTCTTCAGAGAGCCTTGTCCATTATAGATGCATGTATTTTTCCATAGGTAGAGCCGCCGTGTCTTATCTTGGAATTAGTGATAAAATAAATCGTGCGCATAGCAGTCCTTTTACTGTTTATTTTGTCTTAAGAGCATTCTTATTGTCATCGAAGGTATACTCTTGGTGTGCCATGCGTCATCCCTAGTGGAAAATTTTATGTCTTGCGGTCTGCCGCGCGGACTGGTCCGGTTAGCATCGGTTATCGTATGGACCGGTTATATTCTTCTAACAAATACATAAGTTATGTGATAAATTCCGTTGCTTCGGACCCTAGTTCTCGCTGCATTCTGTCAATGCAACAGAGGCATCGCTATATTATGAGATTCCTTGAAGGTTGCGAAAAATATTGGTTGATTAAACGCAATAGAATGACAAAATTCCATTGCGCCACGAATAATAATTTAATAAACATACTTATACATATTCATTTTTAAAATTATCATGTTTGACATAATCGTGCTAGGTCATTTAATAAATTACAAGTCTTATCGCTACATTTCAATGTGACCGAGCGATAACATCAATTTGTTGCTCGTGAAATTATTTAGATATAGCTGACTATCTTAAAAAATGGAATTGTTTAAAAAGAAGGAGAGGAATATGTATCTTCCGAAGCTCAAAGGTGTTGATTGACGATATTCGCTCTATCATGTTATTTATCAAGTAGCTCGAAGATCCGGCCGTAGCTTGACAAAGCCCTTCAAGGTGAGATGTATGATTGCGAGGCGAGTTTTCGCGATATTTTGCGCAGTTCTGTTCCGATAGAGAAACTGGCAGCGACTGATAAGCGGGCATAGAACAAATTTACTAATGGTACAACGGGTATTACTTTAATTGATGAAACTGTTTATGATTCGGCAATTCCCGCAAAGCTTCGCGATTAATCAATCGTAGTATCTGCATTTCGTCAGGGAGTCGCAGGATTTCGCAACGCAAAAGACGGCGCTACACAATTACGCGTACGGAGAATGATTCTTCAAGAATCTCTCTCTGTTTTTAATTAATTCTAAATGTGGCTCACGTATTTTTGCGAAGAGAGCGTTC